CATGTTATAGTCTTATGCTAGCTTTATTCTAATAACCCTCTGGATTTTTCACTAAGATAGTTACCAAGAAATAAGAATTTTTTTGACTGGTACCATCATTTCTTTAAGGAGGCCTATCTAAATTTTAAGCTCTATAAAATCAAGGCCAGTGCAGTTTTATTTCCCTCACTATTCCTGACACAGTGCTGAGTGGTTAATAAGTGCTCGATAAATATTTTTTTATTATATCTATATAGTAAAAGGCAAAAAGCTTAATATACTTCAATTTAATAATGACATAATGTGATTTGTATGCCACTGTTTTTCTAAATTATTAAATAAATAGCCATTCAATTCAGATTGTTCTTTTTGTCCTCAAATAATTTCATAGCATGAATACTCTGGTCTTGAGCTATATTGTTGGTATTTCATGGTAAATTAACTAACATACATTAGAGGTTGTTTGTCAGAGTAGGAAACATTTTCTCTACCATACCTTTTCTGTTTTCAGAATTTTATGTTAACTTTTTAGCCTTTAAAAACCCTTTCAGCAAATCAGACACCTGTTTTCCCCTTGCCCACGGATATCTACACCTTAATAAGGAAAGTAAAAAAGGTTTAGCATGCCTAAATTGTGGTAAAATATACATAACAAAATTTATCATTTTAACCATTCTTTTTTTAAATAGGGGAATTGGGGAAGGGGAACAGCCAAGTTGTTGTCCTTCAATGTTAGTTGTGGAGGGCGCAGCTCCAAGTCCAGTCACCATCTGGCTGCCCATCAGCAGCTCACGGCCGCTCAGCTCAAGGTTCCATGTTCAATCTTAGTTGTGGGTGGGCATAGCCCACCATCCATGCGGGAGTCAAACCAGCAACCTTGTTGTTAAGAGCACGTGTTCTCACCAGCTGAGCCATCTTGCCATCTGTTGGCAGCTCAGCTTGGGAGAAGCTCATTGGCCCATGTGGGAATTGAACCGGCAACCCTGTTGCTCAGAGCTCACACTCTTAACCAACTAATCCACTCAGCCGGCCCCATTTTAACCATTTTTAAGTGTACGATTCAGTGGCATTAAGTATTCACACTGCGACAACAGGGATGAACCTAGAGGATATTATGCTGAGTGAAGTAAGTCAGACTGAGAAAGACAAATACCATATGATCTCATTTACTAGTGGAATCTAAAGAACAAAATAAACAAACAAGCAAAACAGAAACAGACTCATAGATACTAAGAACAAACTGATGATTGCAATGGGGAGCGGGGGGATGTTGACTGGCTGGGTGAAAAGGTGAAGGAATTAAGAAATACAAATTGATGGTTACCAAATGGTCACAAGGATGTAAACTACAGCATTGAGCATATAGTCAGTAATGTTGTGTAGTGTCAGGTGGGTACTAGACTAATCGGGGGAATCACTGCATAAATTATATAAATGTCTAACCACTGTATTGAATATCAACTGTAACTGAAAAATAAGTAAGAGATGTGTAGAAAAAGTATGGTGAACGCTGCTGCTGAGTGCCATCCAATGGAAAGGCAGGGATTTTCAATACGGGAAGCAGCATGTTGAACTTTAGTAACCGTGTGTGACAAGTTTTGACTTGGTCAGTGGAGTTAGTCTGGTGTGAGCTACGGTTGAGAGAAGGTGTGTTTTAAAGTGTGCCGTAATCATCCTCCATCATGACAACGCTGTGTGTCATCACACATTGCTTCTGGTGTACGGCAGTTTCTGTCAAAAACATTAGTGTGTCCTCATCCACCTTATTCACTGGATATGGCACCATGTGACTTCTGGCTCTTCCCCAAAGTCAAAATGATTCAGGACATCAAGGCAGCCATGACAACACAACTATAAACACTCACAAAAGAGGAGTTCCAGAACTGCTTCAGGAAGTGGCAAGAACAGTGGGATAAGTGTGTCCGAAGCAAGGGGGAGTATTTTGAAGGGGATTAATGGCAATGTGTCTTTTACTGTAATAAATTTTTTTAAACATTCACCATATTTTTTTTTTAAGATTTTTATTGGGGAATTGGGGGATGGTAACAGTGCTGGGGAATTGGGGGAAGGGAACAGACAAGTTGCTGTCATTTTGGGGGGTTTTTTTTTTGTTCTTCAGTCTAGTTGTGGAGGATGTTGCTTCACTGGCCCAAGTTGGCACCATCATTGCACTCTTCCCAGGTGAGGCACATCAGTCTCCGGCTTCTGGATGGCCGCTCACTGCGGCTGCTGGCCACTCATGCTGGCTGCTGGCTACACATGGTAGCCCATGGCAACCCGCTGCCACAGGGGCTGCAGCCTACGCCATAGCCAGCGACTCACAGCAGCCCAGCTCCAGGTTGAGCTGTTGTTCAGCATCTTAGCTGTGGAGGAGTGTCACTGGCCCTCATATGTGGGATCCGAACCGGGCCCCTCTGGCATCCCAAGCCAGTTCTTAACCATCGCGCCACTCGGCCGGCCCCACCATATTTTTTTATCACACCTTTTAAAATGTTTTTGAAAAGTACGTTCACACTTATACTACGATCACCACCATCCACCTCTAGAACCTTTTTTATCTTCTTGGACTGAAACTCCATACCCATTAAACAATAATTCCCCTTTTCTCCCTCCTTCAAACTCCTGGCAATCACCATTCTACTTTCTGTCTCTATCAGTTTAACTACTCTAGGTACCTCACGTATGTGGAATCATGCAGGATTTGTCTTTTATAACTGATTTATTTCACTTGACATAATGTCTTCAAGGTTCATCCATTTTATATAGTATGTGTCAGAATGTCCTTCCTTTTAAAGGCTGAATAATATTTCATTATATGTATATACTACGTTTTGTTTAGCCATTCATCCATCGATGGACACTTGGGTTGTTTCCACTTTGGCATGTCTTTAGATGGAGATAAAGAGAATATGGTATTAGTGTACCCATCTACAGGCAGGTGATATTGTAGAACCTGTACTTCTGGTCCAGTGGGATTCTCCTCTTTGAGCTGATTCTGTTCTAGTGCTTATATTAGATAGCATACCATGGCTTTCATACAAGGAATGAGCCCTCTCTCTGGATGCTCTAAGTCAAGGCCAAGAGAATGACCTCAAATCAGGGAAAAAATGTTTAATATAGGTCTCCTATTTCACTGCCGAATATTATGGAGCTTGGCATTGTAGATGCCATTGTAAATGTTTGAATGAATGTTTAAATACAGATGCACCTCTGTTCATAATTGCCAAAAAATAGAAACAGCCCAGATAGAGTGGATAAATACTTGTGGTATATTCACACAATGGAATACTTAGAGCAATAAATGTGAATGAACCACAGATATACAGAAAAAGGTGGACAAATCTTAAAAGGAGAAGCCATATATTATACAGTCATATGCCACTTAAAGACAGGGATACATTCTGAGAAACGTGTAGTTAGGCAGTTCATCATTGTGCCAACATCATAGAGTGTACCTACACAAACTTATAGCCTACTACACATCTAGGCTATATGATATAGCTTATTGCTCCTAACTGCGAATCTGTATGGCATTAGGTACTGTATACTGTAGGCAACTGTAACACAATGGTATTTGTGTATCGAAACATAGAAACACATAAGTGTATGTGCTATACTTTTATAAGACTGGCAACTAGGTTTGTTTACAGCAGCATCACCACAAACACGTAAGTAAAACAAAAAGCAAGGGAATGAACCCCCTAAAAATCACAATAGTGATTACCACTGGGAGAAGAGGCTTATGACTGAGAAAGGCTATATTGCGGGGAAGGAGGGAGGCCCTGGGATGCAGATAATAGTGTTTCTTGACCTGAATGGAGGTTTTACAAGTGTTCATTTTATAACAGTTAAGTTGTACATTTACGTTTTCTGTGCCTCTCTATACGGTCGTCATATTACACAATAAAAAGTTTAAGTTCTTTGATTCTTGGGGGGAGGGAGGACTATAAAAGATCATGTGACATAATTATACATAGAGTATTTTAGCTCTCAGTTTGATTGATAAAATGAGAAAGATACCATTGACAAACTTGGAGAGTACCAGGAAGTACTGTAGATTGCCTGTACTGAGAATGCCTTATTATTGAGTCCTCCATGTGGCTCCCTGGGCTCCATAGTTTGGGGAAATGGGAATTGGAAGAGAAGCGGCACTCAGTAGAAGCCAGTCAGCATCTGCAATCCATTAAGGACCTGATTTTTCATTAAAAGGCATTAACCTCAGTGTCTCTTCAGTGTTATTTACTTCTTAGAAATTGTATTCATTTCCATCAAAGCATGATGTGTGAGAAGTGGGAAATAGGCAAGTAGGACAAACCTTCCTCCCTGTAAGGGAACTCCCTGTAGCCCCTATTTATGTAACTACTGTCTCTCTCAAGCCATCCTAGAAGGTAGAATTTGAGATCAGCAAACCTTTGACCAGCTTTTGAAAAGAACTCCTTTATTCACAGAATTTGATTAGGTTAAAGTTAAGTGACAAATTGCATCATTCATCACTTTTAAATTAAGATAATAAACAGCTTCCCAAGTGCTTGGGTTCTGCTCAGTTCTGAGACCATTCTGATGTATATCACTGACCGTTGATTCTTTAACTTAAGCCTCAAAAAGCTTGAATGTCCTGTGAGTAGGTTATTTAAATGGAAGTCCTGACTCTGGTCTTACCTGTTAAGATGTATAACAGTAACAGATCAAATGGCTACAGCTCATTTAGGAAGTGTCATACTTGGTAATAGATATTGTGACTAAGTGGAGGACACAGTTAGACATATTTTTATTAACGATCGCCAGCCACAACGGGAAACAGCTTCATGTCAGATTTTACATGTGAGAGGAAAGCAATTAGCCAGCTTGACCTTTTCAGGGTAAAATTCTATTGTGTACAAATTTGACATTCCTTGACTAATTTATTCAATCTCTGTTCTACACATAGCATAAATGTCTGATTGATAGACAGGCCTAGTTTTCTGGATTTTATGCAGCTTTTTGTTACAGGTTCCTGCTTTACCTTGTCTCTTTTCTTTCAGGGCCTGACATTTCAGGAAGTGGAGAACTTCTTTACTTTCCTAAAGAATATTAATGATGTGGACACTGCACTGAGCTTTTACCATATGGCCGGGGCATCTCTTGATAAAGGTAATGAAACCCAAGTTTTTTCTTGATGGTATAAACATTGAATCTATAATCTACTAGGTGACTACCCCTCCTTAACTGTAATATGTGAGTTTTTCTTGATACTGTTTTTTATTTGTTTTGTTTTGTTGATATTGCATAAGCCTTGCATTTCGCCTTGAGAGGCCAAACTCAGCAAATATATTTCCTTGTGCTAAAGGCTGTAGCCAAGGCAGAGTTAGTTAGCCTTGGAAATCGGCATCTAAGCTGAGGCAGAGTGCATAAAACTTTGGATCTTCTCTTATTGGAGCCAGAGTCGTTACATACGAGTATATAATGTGAAACTGAAGTCACTATGTATTTTAATTTATTCTTTGGTGAGAAGGAATGGCTTGGTTTATTTCTTGTATTAAAGGTGGTTTTTTTTTTTAAGATAAAATCATGACTCAGAGAATAGCACCCTCTATTGGCTTACTTCATACAAATTCTGTTCAAATTTGTATAGGCAATATGAGAGAGCAAAGGAATTGAAAAACAATTTTTTCCCAACATTTTATTATGAAAAATTTCAAACATTTAGAATAGTTGGAACACTCATTCGAAGAATGTTCATATATCTGGCTCAATTAACATTTTGCTATATTTCCCTGATAGTATATCTATGTGTATATTCATCCCTCTATCACTCTTTCTTATTTTTTGTTGCACTCAGAGTAAGTTACAGACTTAAGTGCACTTCACTCCTAAATACTTCACCATGAATAGTAACTGAAGTTCAATATTTGTTTAAAGTTCCCTTGTGCCCCACTTCACAGTAAATTTCTGCCTCCACTCACCAAGAGGCAACCTTAATTCTGTGTATTTTTCCACCGTAGTTTATAACAAAACTTCGTTTGTTCTAGAACTTCATAAAAATGGAATTATATGGTGTACACCCTTTATAACATTTCAGCATGTTTTTGAGATCAAAACATTTGTTGCGTGTATAATAGTTTTTCCTTTTTTATGAATAGTAACCCATTGTATGAATACCCCACAATTTGTATATCCATTCTTTATTGGATACATTGACTGTTTCCAGTTATTAGCTATCTTGGACAAAGCTGCTATGAACATTCTTTTTTTTTTTTGAGATTTTATTGGAGAATTGGGGAAGCGGAACAGTGTTGGGGAATTGGGTGAGGGGAACAGCCAAGTTGTCCTTCAATCTTAGTTGTGGAGGGCGCAGCTAGCTCAGCTCCAAGTTCAGTTGCCATCTGGCCACCCAACTGCAGCTTGCAGCTGCTCAGCGCAAAGTGCCGTGTTCAATCTTAGTTGCGGGTGGGCATAGCCCACCATCCCATGCGGGAGTCAACCAGCAATCTTGTTGCTCAGAGCTCGTGCTCTTAACCAACTGAGCCACTCAGCCGGCTCCCTATGAACATTCCTGTGTTAGCCTTTTTGAGGACATGTGTTTTCATTTCTCATGGATAAATACCTAGGAGAAAATTGCTGGGTCCAGTGGAAGGTGAGTATTTTTTTATAAAAAACTGTCAGACCCTTTTTCACAGTGTATCTTTTTATACTCTCACCAATAATGTATAATAGTTTAAGTTGTTCCACATTCTTGTCAATAATTGGTGATTCTGGAGTATATATAAAGATGCCTCATTGTGTTTTTAATTTGTATTTCCCTGATGACTTCTGCTAGTGAGCAACTTTTTATGTTCTTCTCAATCATATATTTTCTTTGGTGAAGTGTCAGTTCAAATGTTTTGCCCATTTTTATTAGGTTGCTTGTCTTAATACAAAATTGTGGAAGATCTCGAGATATGCTAGATACAAGTTCTGTATGAGGTATATATTTTATGAATATTTTTCTAGTCTGTGGCTTAACTATTTACTTTCTTAATAGTGTCTTTTGATTAGCAGGTGGGGGTTTTTTGATAATTTATCAAATTTTTATTTTTGGTTATCACTTTTTGGTCCTAATAAATCTTTATCTACCACCAAACTATGAAGAAGATATTCACCTATATTTTCTCCTACAAGCTTTATTGTTTTATTTTAGCTCTTATGTTTTTTGTGTGTGTGTGTGTGAACAATCTAAGACATAATTCAACAATCTAAAACATAATTAGATGACAGAAAATAAGCACACAGAAAGATCACTTGCTTTTCTCACTGACATAGAGAGGCTTTTATTCAGCCACCAAAATAAAGTGAATCCCTCCTTCTCTCCCTCAGAAGTCTCACAGAATTTCTTTAGTATTTTTATTAGCACCAACCCAGGGTCCAGGTGGCCTGTCTCTACATCTGCTGCTCCACAGACCATGGTTCCAGAAAGGCAGGCGCTGACTGATGCCTCCCACAAGCCTTCCCATGCCTAGCACATAGTGGGCATTGGATAAACTTCTGCTAAACTGGGTTGAACTGCATTACTTAACAGCATGTAAACCGGAGGAATTCAGTGCGTTTTAAACAATATGTCCCTGTCTCCAGCAGAGTCCTTCCTCCAAGGACAAGCTTTATTTCTATAAACAATAAGTTACACGTGCACAGAGTAAGAATGGTGGCTCCAAAAAACAGCGATGCTATGATACGTACATGGGATCACAATTCAAACAGAGGCTCTACTGTTCCTGACACCCAAGTCACTCAGCCATATTCTTCTACTTTGGTGCAGATATGGGTGCTATTATTATAAACTTAAAAGGTTAGCCAATATGAGCCCAAAATAATAACTAATTTTTATAAAATGCAGAGGTATTTTTTCTTTAATTTTTAGGAGATATTAAAGCAATGAGATGAGTCAAAACTTCTAACACACAAAACCATCCACTGCTGAAATGTAAGGAAGGAAAGACAAAATTCACTGCTTCTTCCTATTATTTTCTTTTCCCTTTTTTTTTATCTATGGTGGTTTTTTTTGTTTGGCTGTCTTTTTTTTTTTTTTTAATTAGTTTCAGGTGTACAACACAGTGCAATAGTCATACTTTTTACCCCTCAAAGTGACAACCCCCTCCCCCAATCCGCCACCCAGCTCTTATATTTCATATATGATCCATCTCATATTAATTTCTATATATGGTGTAAAGTAGAAGTCAAGATTTCTTTTTTTTAACATGGATATCTAGTTGTACCAGTACCATTTGTTGAAAAGGCCATCCATTGGTTTGCTTTGGCATCTTTTTCAAAAATCAAATGACCTTTTAAATGTAGATTTACTTCTGAGCTCTCTGGTCTGTTACATTTATCTATATGTCTCTTTTTATACCCATACATACTCACTGTCTTGATTACTGTAACTTTATAGAAAGTCTTGAAGTAGGAAGTATTATAAATCCTCCCAACTTGATTCTTCTTTTTCAAGATTGCTTTACATATTTTATGTCCTTTGTATTTCCGTATAAATTTTAGAATCAGCTTGTCACTTTCTTATGTAAAAAAGAGGTAGGATTGTGATTGCAGTCACATTGAATATGTAGATTAATTTGGAGAAAATTGACATCTTAGTGATAATGAATCTTCTAATTCATGAGCATATTATATCTCTCCATTTTTTAGGTCTTTTTCAATTTCTGTCAGCAGTGTCTTTGTAGTTATTTAAGTATACAGGTCTTGCACATATATTTTTTTTAATTCATGCCTAAATATTTTATGTTTTTTATGATATTATAATTGGAATTTTTATTTTATTTTTTAATTGCTGCTGCTGTTAAAATACAATTGATTTTTTATATTGATCTTGTATTCTGCAGCTTGCTAAATTCGCTTATTCTTCTAGTTGTTTTGTAGATTCCTTAGGTTTTCTATATAAGCGATCATGTAATCTGCAGAAATAATTTCACCTCTTCTTTTTTGATATTCCTACCTTTTTTTTCTTACCAGATTGCATTAGCTTCAATCACCAGTACATGTTGACTATGAGAGGTGAGAGTGGGCATCCTTGGCTTCTTCCTGATTTTAGGTGGAAAACATTTAACATTTCACCATTAAGTTGGTTATTAGAGACTGTTCATAGATGCTCATTACCAGATTAAGGAAATTTTTTCTCTTCCTAATTTAGAAAGGATTTTTATCTTCAATGCTGTTAAGTTTTGCCAAATACTTTTTCTACATATATAGAAATGACTATATAGCTTTCCTCCTTTTTTTCTTAATATGGTATAGATTATATTGATTATCCCTTATTGCTCTGAATGAAACCTAACTTTGTAATGATGTATTAAGCTTTTTGTATATTGCCAGATTTGATTTGCTAACATTTTGTTAAATATTGAGGGATATTGGTCTGGAATTTTCCCTTTTGTAATGTCTTCAGGTTTTGTGTCAGACTATTCTGTCCTCATAAACTGAATTGGTGTGTTTTATCTTCTTTATTTTCAGAAAGATTTTGTATAAGATTGCAATCTTTCTTTCTGAATTGTTTGATAGAAATCATCAGCAAAACTATCTTGGCCTGCAGTTTTGTTTGTGGGAAGGTTTTGATCTTTTAATTTCTGTAGTAAATATATTCAGAGTTTATGTTTTTATCTTGTGTGAATTTTGACAAGTTGTATTTTTTTAGGAATTTTCCCATTTTGTTTAAGTTATTGAATTTATTGACATAAAGCTGTTCATAATATTCCCTTATTACCCTTTTGATGTCTGTAGAATCTAAAATCCCCTCTTTTACTGGTAATTTTGGTGAATTATGTTTTCTCTCTTTTCTCTTTTTTCTTATTTAATTTACCTAGGGGGTTAACAATTTTGTTAAACTTTTCAAAGAACCAATTTTTGACTGTTAATTTTCTCTATGATTTTTTTCTTATTGCATTGATTTCTGCTCATACCTTTGTTATTTCCTTACCTCTAATTATTTTCAGTATATATTTCTCTTTCCAGCTCCTTAAAATGGAACTTTACCTACATCCCACAAATTTTCATACGTTGTAGCTTTATCATCATTCTCTTTTAAATATTTTCTGATTTTTCTTGTGATTTCTTTGGTGACTTATGCGTTACTTAAAAATGTGTGTTGTTTAATTTCCAAATATTTTTAT